CCTCCACAAATTATACCGACATCAAATACAGTGAAAGCAGGGGTTATACTGTGGGGGAGGGACATACAAAACAACAAAGAAATAATCTTATAAATCAAGCTGAGATTTTTCAACCCAAGACATGAAACACTGAGGTGGTGATTTTTTTTCTTTTATTCCATTCTCCTCCCCTACCCCCATCATGGAGCTTGAGCTTAGGGCCTAGGCATTGTCCCTGAGCTTTTTCACTCAAGGCTGGCATTTTACCACTTTGAACCACAGCCATTTCTAGTTTTCTGATGGTTCATTTTGGAGATAAGAGTCTCACAGACTTTCCTGCCTGGGCTGGCTTTGAACCATGATTCTCAGATCTCAGCCTCCTGACTAACTAGGATTACAGGTGTGAGCCAACAGCGCCTGGCAGATTCTCTTCTTTATTTCCCCTATGTCAAAAGTGTTTTGTTTTGTCTTCCTAAAAAAATGAAAAAATGGAGAAAATCCAAGGTGGACATGAGCACAGGCAGAAAGACCAACCGAAACAACTAATTCAAAATCATTCTTACATCAAGGCCAGACAAAAAGAGAGGAAAGTGGTTTTGGTGAGTTCAGCCATAGTTGTGAAAATATACTTGGGCTGAAAATTCAAGATGAGGGAGAGAGCCAGGCATCGGTGGCTCATGCCTATAATCCTAGCTTCTCAGGAAGCTGAGATCATGGTTCAAAGCCAGCCCGGGCAGGAAAGTCTGTGAGACTCTTATCTCCAATAAACCACTCAGAAAACCAGAAATGGTACTGTGGCTCAAGTGGTAGAACGCTCACTTTGAGCTGAAGAGCTGAGGGATAATGCCCAGGCCCAGAGTTCAAGCCCCTTGACCGACCAAAAAAAAAAAAAAAAAGATGAGGGAGAGTTAGGATAGGATATTAGAGGAAACTACAGAGACTACATTTAATTCTTACACCTGCCTGTTAGAGGATATGCTGCTAAGGAAGAAAGAGGAAGATTTCATCCATTTAGCTATTTATTTACATAGTGCATAGTTGTTTGTGCCTACTATGTACCAGGCATTTTTTTTTTTTGGGTCCTGTCATGGGGCCTGAACTCTGGGCCTGGGCGCTGTCCCTCAGCTCTTCAGCTCAAGGCTAGCACTCTACCACTTGAGCCAGAGCACCACTTCTGGTTTTTTTCTTTTTGCTTATGTGGTGCTGAGGAATCGAACCCAGGGCCTCTGGCATGCAAGGCATGCGCTCTACCACTGAGCCACCTTCCCAGCCCTGTACCAGGCATTTTTATACCAGAAGGATAACTGTTGTGGTCAGAATGGTAGAGGAATCAGGAGAGTATGGAATCATAGAGGCCAGGGGAAGAAAAAATTTCAAGAGATAAGACATGTTCAGCTATATCACATGATACTGTAGGAAAGCCAAAGAATATAAAGATCTGAAAATACTCAAGGCCATAACAGGAAGTCATTCAGGTCATTACAGCTACTATATGAGCTAGTAAGGGTAAATGGCAAGTTATAGTTATTTGAAGATTAAAAACTTTTGCAATGAGTCTAGGTGTGAAAAGTAAGAGGGAGAAAATGGTAGATAAAAGGGAGTGAATGGAGCTCAACAACAATGGTTCACACCTATAATTGTAGTTATTCAGGAGGCTGAGATCTAAGGAAGGAGGCTTAAAGCCTGCTCAGGCAAACAAATTTGAGAGACTCTTATCTTCACTTAACCAGCAAAAAGCCAATACTAGAGCTGTGAGCTACAAGTCCAGGTGAAAAAGTCAAGCTGAGCAAGAGCTTGAGCCCTGAGATTAGGTCTCCAGTACCCATTATCCACCCCCCCCCCCAAGACTGGAGAATTGCAGGATGGTTTTGTTTCATAATTTTCTTTTAAAAGAGAGGATTGAGCTGGGTGCCAGTGGCTCACACCTGTTATCCTAGCTACTCAGGAGGCTGAGATTTGAGGATCTTGCTTCAAAGTAAGCCTGATCAGGAAAATCCACAAGACTCACCTCCAATTAATCACAGAAAAAGCCAGAAGTAGTGCTGGGGTTCAAATGGTAGAGTTCTAGCCTTGAGCAAAAAAGGAGTTCAGGGACAGTGCCCCCAGACTCAGAGTTCAAGCCCTAGGACCAGCATTAAAAAAAGAAAAAAGACAGTATATATATGTATACACACATATTTAAAATATATATCTACAAATGAATTTTGCTTATCTATTAGAAAGAATAAAATTATGTTATTTGCTGGAAAATGGATAGACCTAGAACAAATCATGCTAAATGAGATAAGCCAAGCTTAGAGAGACAAACCGCATGTTTTTCTCCTATGTAGAAGTTAGATCTACAATATAACTGGAGGGCTGGGAATGTGACCTAGTGGTAGAGTGACTGCCTACCATGCATGAAGCCCTGGGTTCGATTCCTCGGTACCACATACAAAGAAAAAGCTGGTGGTGCTGTGGCTCAAGTGGTAGAGTGCTAGCCTTGAGCAAAAGAAGCTCAGGGACAGTGGCCAGGTCCTGAGTTCAAGCCCCAGGACTGGTAAAAAATAAAAAAAAATATAACTGGACATGATAACCTATGCAGCATTCTAGACATTCACACACTCTCAGACAAAAGAAAGATATATTTAAGTGTAATTTCTCTGAATATTTAAAAGGAAAGTCTGTGAAACTTTTACCTCCAATTAACCACTAAAAAAGCCAGAAGTGAAGGTGTGGCTTAAGTGTTAGAGTGCTAGTCTTGTGCATAAAAGCTCAGGGATAGTGCTGAGGCTGAGTTCACGCCCCAGGACTGGCCCAAGGAAGAAAAATAAAAGACAGACTTGGGCCAGGAAATCATATTTATATATACAGAGAGAATAATAAAATAGAAATAGGGAAGAGATTTAGAAAATCTGAAAAGAATTCTTTTTATGGGGTGTGTATGTGTGTGTGTATTTTTATAATTCTTTTTTTGAGAGACCAGGGTTTGAACTCAGGGCCTTATGCTTGGTAGTTAGGTACTCTACTGCCTGACCCATGTCTCTAGCCCTTTTTTATATATTACTTTTCAAACAAAGTCTTGTTTTTATACCTAAGCCAGCCTGGGACCATCCTCTTCCTTCTCTTGCTCCCTTATGTAGCTAGAATAACAGGTATGCACCATTGTGCCCAGCTTTTTGTCAGTTAAGGTAGAATCTTTTTGCCCAGGCTGTCCTTGAATTGTAGTTCTCCTAATTTTAGCCTCATATAGTTAAATTTATAGTTATAAGTCATTGTGCCAGGCTGATTTTACCTTTTGTTGTTGTTGTTGCTCAGGAAGCTTGAACTTGGGGCCTGGGTACTGTCCCAGAGCTCTTTTGCTCAAGGCTAGTGCTCTACTGCTTGAAGCCATAGCATCACTTCCAGTTTTCTGGTGGTTAATTGGAGATAAGAGTCTCATGGATTTTTCTGCCCAGGCTGGCTTTGAATGGTGATCCTCAGATCTCAGCCTCCTGAGTAGCTAGGATTACAGGTGTGAGCCACTAGCACCTGGATGATTTTACCCTTTTATCTGGAAAAAAGACACTAATTTGTCTTTGAGATTGGATAGAGGGAGGATAATGATAGATTACATATGGATTCACTTATTTCTTTAATTTTATTTTACTGTAAAGATGTTATACAGAGGGGTTACAGTTACATGAGTAAAGCAATGAGTACATTTCTTGTTGAGCATTGTTACCCCTTCTCTTGTTGTTCTCTTATTTTTTTCTTTAGTACTGGGGTTTAAAATCAGCACTTCATGTATGAAGCACCAGTTCATTCATTCTTTGAATAACAGCTACTAGTGTCTTTTATTATGTGTCAAAGATTTTACTAGAGGGCTGGGCTTAGTGGTGGAGCGCTTGCCTTGCATGCCTGAGGCCCTGGGTTTGATTCCTCAGCACCACATAAGCAAAAAGAAAAAAGCTGGAAGTGGCGCTGTGGCTCAAGTGGTAGAGTGCTAGCCTTGAGCTGAAGAGCTGAGGGACAGCGCCCAGGCCCAGAGTTCAGGCCCCACGACCGGACCCAAAGGAAAAAAAAAAAGATTTTACTAGATGCTAGAAATGATGAGCAAAATTTTTTTTTTGGTCAGTTGAGGGGCTTGAACTCAAGGCCTACCTGCTGTCCCTGGACTCTCTAGCTCAAGGCTAGTGCTCTACCCCTTTGAGCCACAGCTCCACTTCTGGTTTTTGAGTGATAAACTGGAGATAAAAGTCTCACAGGGACTTTTCTGCCTGGGCTAGCTTTGAACTACAATACTCAGATCTCAGCCTTCTGAGTAGCTAGGATTATAGGTGTGAACCACCAGTGCCTAGCAAGATGATGAGCAAATTTGGTAGCCCGTCCTTCATAGAATTTTCAGTATGTTAGTATGTTAGATAATAAAGAAATGTGGGACATAAGGTGTCAGTGGGAAATTTCATGACAGGGAACAATAGATCATATAATGTAATATTTTAAAATAATAATTATACATTGATAAAGGTAGAATAAAATATAAAAGAAAGTATTAGTAAAAAATTCACAGACAAATGGATAATCTTGGAGAAGACAGGCTTCTACCTTTCTACCAGCAAGCAAGGTAGTCCAGGTCAGTGAATTCTTTTTTTTTTTGGGTGGGGGGCTTGAACTCTGGGCCTGGGCGCTGTCCCCAAACTCTTGAGCTCAAGGTGAGCGCTCTGCCACTTGAGCCACAGTGCCACTTCCAGTTTTCTGGTGGTTAGTTGGAGATAAGAGTCTCACGGGCTTTCCTGCCTGGGCTGTCTTCGAACCTTGATCCTCAGATCTCAGCTTCCTGAGTAGCTAGGCATAAGCCACCAGCACCTGGCTGAATTCTTCCTATAATGACATCATAACATTGTAATGGAGCTAGAAATATAATTTAATTTGGACATTCAGCTGTCTGGAGTTCAGATTCCCTCAAAGGAGGCTCTACATAGGCTATTTTCTCAAAAAGAATTTTTATTTTGGTTTTATGTGATTAAGTAAATTCAGATATTCCTGTTGAGAACTTTGGAGATACTGCAGTTTCTTCAAGCCTGATCGATCTCCTATTAGCCCAAATAAGCTGGTGTTGTCAGGTTTATATCACTTGGTCTACTTATTGCTCCTCAGTGTTACCCACCTGCAAAATGAGATTTTTAGATTGGCACATGAGTTTATTCTCTAGATGGCGCTCCTGAGTTATGATTGTAAGAAATGTCAGCCCTTTGCTAAACAAAACAGTTGTTAAGGAGATTCTTGGAGTACGAAATAGAAAGGTGCATATACAGAACCAATAGACACAGTCTGCAGTAGGTATTATGAAGGCAAATCATCATGAGAGGAAATGAGGGAGACTCTAAGATGCGCCAGTCAGGGAATACATTTGTAAGGAAATTGTATTTATGCTGAAACCATTGAAGGAAGAGAAGTTACCCAAGTCAAAAGTTAGAATGTTGGGCTGGGAAGGTGGCTCAGTGGTAGAATGCTTGTGTTGCATACATGAGGCCCTCGGTTCCATTCCTCAGCACCACATAAGCAAAAAAATCCAGAAGTGGCACTGTGGCTCAAGTGGTAGGATGCTAGCCTTGAGCTGAAGAGCTGAGGGACAGCG